ATTTAGGGTTTGGGGTTTAAGATTTTCTCGTAATGCAGCTTTGGAAAAAGCTGTTTAAGCCACTTGGCTTGACTCTCATGACCTTCCAGAAAGTCTGCAAAAGCCTCGGTTCGTGTCTGTTTCAGTAAATATGAGCCAAACTTGCACGAGGCCATGCCAACAGATGCAGAGGAACCACCTGACAAAGAGCACCAATGATTGGATCCATACAGACTGATTGGTCCACTCAAAGCTGAAATTCGGCGCAAAATCTTGAACAGCACTGCCCGACCTGTTCCACGATGTGCGGTGTGTGGGCGGGTTTCACTTAAGGTGCAAAGCGTGGACACTGTGGGCCAGCGAAATTTGATGATTCTGGCTCGAACAATTTTTGGCCCAAATCCGGAACCGATACCTTTCAACCCCGAACCCGAAGCCCAAGCCGTCAGCCCTAGACCCTAAACCCNNAAACCCTGAAACCCTAAACCCCATAACCCCCAAGCCCAACACACTAAACCCTTATGCAACCCTTACGGAACCAAATCATCAAGCCTCAACCCTAAACTCTGTAGCATTACACCCTCGATCCCTGAATCCCAAGCCGCCTGCGCTGCTGGTGCTGCGAAGACCGCTCCCGGCGGCATGCCGCCCATGGTCTGCGGAATGCCCTGCTCGGACGTTTAGCTCTATCAGGGTCTATAAGTCTATAAGTAGGGGTCCTCTAGAGGGTCCTTTTTTCACGGGCTTCGGCTTTAGAGTTTAGGGTTTTGGGTGTTGTGTTGGTCGGCTCTTGGGGCTCTGAATGCGTCTGCTTGGATTCGGGGTTTGGGGGCTTTGGGCTTTGGCTGTTTAGGGATTACCTGCGAATCTGTATGATGTTGCTCACTTGGCTTCAAACCTGCGATTACAGGTCCTGCGATTGCGTCTTTGTTCAGGCATTTGCCATTCGAGAACGGCTTTGGGGGCTTGGGGTTTCGGTCAGCTCTTAGCACCAGAAGTAGGACGAAGCAAGAAGTGACGAGACTGCACACAGGAGCCCTCGTCATACGATCCTGCACACCCGTCACGAAACTTGCAGTTTCACTCGCAGCAGACACATGCACCGTTATTCTGGGTCAGGGCCGGGCAGGGCAGGGACCGATGCTGTAGCCATCGGAAATTCAGGACAAAGGTGGCTGAGGACATATGAGGTCAGTTTCTAGTGCTACAGGACATGACATTTTGAAGCCGGCAGTCCCTGAGTTGGCGAGCCCACAAACGCAGGCGGATGTGAAACAAGGCATTCTCTGTTACGAGGGGCGGCCTGAGGGTTGTTACAGGAACTGGTGGTTGCTGTTACGGGATCGGAGCCCGTTCCTGTTACGGGTGCCCGTTACGGACATGCTGTTCCCGTTACGGCAAGCACTCGCACTCGCCACCAGCGTGAGCATAACCCCAGGTGACGACTGATCCACCGTCCACGATGGCAGCAAAAGCATTGACAGCGGCTTGGACCTGCGGCACGTTCTTCAGCTGATCTCGCACAGCACTACTACCACCACCACTCTGAGCATCACCCCAAGTCAGGACGGATCGATCGCTAAGAATGGCAGCAAAAGCCAGCTCGGAGGTCTCAATCTGCTGCACACTCTGCAACTGATCCCTCACGGCACTACTGTCACCACCGCCGTGAGCTTTGCCCCTTCCATCACCAAGAATGGTGGCAAAAGCCATGAAAGAGACATGGATCTGCTGCACATTTTTCAGCTGATCCTGCACGGCATTAGGGTCACCCCCCATGGCCAGCATCGCCCCAGGTCGCGGATGGCAGCACACGCGGCGGTAGTGGCTTGAACTTGAACTTGCATCCAAAGGGCTTCACCAGCCTCCCTTTTCTGACTCCAAGCATGGTCTGCGCCCGAAGTATCAATGTATCCACCTGTTCCTCTGGGTCTGCTTGTACGGTGGCTGCCCTGCCACTTAGCAATCCAAGCTCCTGAGTAAGCGACACATCTGCTTACTGGGTTTAAAAGGAACAAATTTGCCCCCATGACCTCCCAGTGAGCCGTTGCCGAAACAAAGATCAGAAAGAGGTGTCTTCTCAGCTCTTTGGTTGAGGCTTTGGTCAGGTCCTGGAAATCCGGAGGGGCCCTGCCTGCGCAGGTGCCGTGATGGGTGGCAGGTAGACCGCCTCACCGATCGTAGTTGTCGCGGGAACCTGGCGTGCTGCTTCTAACGATCAGGCAAGCCAATTTCGCTACCAGCTCAGCCCCGGATGCCCCGAAGGTCTGAGCATGTCCTAAACATGTCCTAAGCCGAGGCAACACCGGCGCCTGTGTTGCCGGTGCTGCGAAGATGGCACCCTGAGGTGGCATGGCGCTGATCGTCTGAGGAGCGCCCTGTCCGATGCAGGCTTTCCAGGCTTCCGGCGAACCTTGTTCGACCCACCTCGGCCCATGACGTCCATGCGTATCCCTGACATCGCTCGCCTGATCCCGAAGTCTTGATGCATCATCCCTGTGCCTACATAGGAATCTATCGCCTGAAACTCCCACCAACCAACATGGAGTTAACTACGTGACTGTGCCGCACCTCGGCCGGGGCGGTGATGGGTGGCAGGTACACCGGCTCGCCGATTGTCGTCGTGGCGGGGGCCTGACCCGCTGAGCTGCAGGATGATGCATGCCACTTCCCACCTCACCAACGGTACATACTACCTCAAATGATCCAGCGAACCCAAACCAAGCTCTGTAACACGGTTCCATCGTCAGACTTGCTAAACCGGCTGTTCGGCCTGCATGGCGGGTGCCGCGAAAATGGCACCCGGTGGCGCGGTCTCGCTGACCACGGCGGGAGCAGACTGCACAGGTATCGTCACGAAGCCAGTGTTTAGGGCGCAGCAAGCGGCAGGAAATCCCTATCTCACGAAAACATCTCATGGGTTCTGCATGGTAAAGGTCTCGAGTCGTCAACGTTGGCTGCCCTGCAGGACATCCCAAGCCATGTCATGCAAACCCCCAACCAAAAGCCTGTCGACGTCGTGTTTGCACATACATTGGCTGGGCCTCGATTCTCCATTCTGACCCGTATATCCCTGACATCGCTCGCCTGATCCCGAAGTCTTGATGCATCATCCCTGTGCCTACATAGGAATCTATCGCCTGAAACTCCCACCAACCAACATGGAGTTAACTGCGTGACTGTGCCGCACCTCGGCCGGGGCGGTGATGGGTGGCAGGTACACCGGCTCGCCGATTGTCGTCGTGGCGGGGGCCTGACCCGCTGAGCTGCAGGATGATGCATGCCACTTCCCACCTCACCACCGGTACATACTACCTCAAATGATCCAGCGAACCCAAAACAAGCTCTGTAACACGGTTCCATCGTCAGACTTGCTAAACCGGCTGTTCGGCCTGCATGGCGGGTGCCGCGAAAATGGCACCCGGTGGCGCGGTCTCGCTGACCACGGCGGGAGCAGACTGCACAGGTATCGTCACGAAGCCAGTGTTTAGGGCGCAGCAAGCGGCAAGCTTGCGGCGCATGCGATGTCTGGAAATTCCTATCTCACCATGCCTCCGCTGGAGCAGTGATTGGAGGAAGGTACACCGGCTCACCAACCGTGGTCGTTGTAGGTGCCTGTAAGCAAATGGCGTTCAAATGCTGTAATCCGACATGTCGACTATTCATCAGCAACAAGCATCATCATGGCTATCGTCATTATCCTACTCCGCATTTTCGTCGAATCCCGGTCGTCAACGCGCTGGTGGTCGAGGTCTTCATCGCCGCGTTTTCGAAACCACCATCTTCTTCTTCTTCAGAGTAGGAGTAGGAGCCGGAGTAAGAGTAGGAGTAGGAGTAGGAGTAGCAGTAGGAGGAAGCAGGAGCAGGAGCAGTAGTAGAAGTAGAAGTAGAATTGGAAGTAGAAGTAGTAGTTGTTGTTGT